AAAAATTAAATGTTTCGGTAAGAAAACAAAAATTAATCGTATCTCTTGAGAGATAGATTTTTGGACGACATTCGTGTCCGCAGGTCGGACGCGCACGCAAGTCGCGGTTTTTCTTCTCCGAATTCGGGATTTGATTTGCACCCCCCTGCGCGCGTGAAGAGAGCCTTTACCCTTAAGAATCTTAACTCCATAAGGGGGGAGTCCCTTTATAAAGGGTAGCAAATCCCTTGGGTTTTCCGGTGTGGGAAATTAACACTAGAAACTCATCCTTTTTCCCAGTTTTTCCATTCTAACGGGTAAACTTCGAAAAACGATTTCTCATTCACCCGTTATCCGTTTTGAGCGTACCATATATCGAATTGTAGCCCTTAACAAGGACAATCCGAAACCACTTTGACCCGACCCAAATCGGAAGTGGACCCCACTCAAAAATTGCCCCAAAATAGCCATTTAATGCAATTTTTCACACATTTTTCCAACATAGTGTCCTCAAACAAACCAAAAGACATCACAGTTACCTCAAATTTAGTTTCATTGTCCGTATTCACTTTGAACTCCCCGTTCTATGCAACTTGGGCTTTTCGTCTTTTCACCATGCCTCCAAATAACTCAATGCACCAGCAATAATGCTCGTCGCTGGTGTTGATGAGTCTGATGACTGCTGCCACATGATTTCATTTCTTTCCCTCTAGATTCCCCACACAATCATAATAAACGCATGGAAACACTCATCCATTAAACATGTAAAAATGGTTTCAATCCATTTCATGAAGTCCGGACCTTCAACTAATTATAAAGAGAACTTCCACTTCATGAGGCTCCATACTTGCTGCGCCAAAGGACAAATTCCAAATGCATGTAACAAACTCTCTGTCCCAACCGAACAAGAAGGACAATCCTGTGAGCATTCCACCCGTTTTGCATCTAATACATCAGCCATAGCGTGGCAGCCTACCGTCCTGCACCTATATTCCATAAAAGACTAACCTTCTTAGATTTTCGTCATTACTGTTATTATTAGAACATGAATCATTCTCATCATACAAACAAGACATTGAATATTTAATAGAAATATCCATCTGCGTTTAGTAGATAAAGCATTATAATACGGAGTATATATTAATGGCACATAGGAAAATGATGTGCATCACAGATTTTCCGTAGCTTTCGAAAGTTGTTCAATATTTTACTCCTAAAGAGTCAATGAACTTGAATTGAAATTGAAAATTGTGAGTTTTGAATATTTTAACTACTTGAATAACTTAGTTTAGGAATGAGTTGCATAAGTTTGAGATGGGAGAGCCTTCATGTTTCTCTCACAAATTATAAATTGTAATCTTAATAATGTACAATTTATAAATAAATCGTCCGGACTGCCTGAATAACTACCTGAATAACGCTCTCCTCCGAACTGCTGGACACAAAAATCGTCCGGACTTTTAAAACGTGGCCGTTGGATTAATTACACGATCCAGATTCAATTTTATAAAAAAAAATACTCCACTACTCCCTCCGTCCCCCTAAGTTTGGGACGGAGGGGTGTGGTGTGGTTTTTAAGAAAAAGTGGAATTGTGTGGTTGATATTGAATTGATAAAGTGTAAATAAAGTAAGAATGAATTCTAACCACTCAAATGTTACCAAATATGGTATGTGACAAACTTAGTGGGACGGACGAAAAAGGTAAAACGGGACAAACTTAAGGGGACGGAGGGAGTACCAATCAAGCTGGCAAGCACCTTTTCAATCCTCTATTTCTCTCATTTCTCTTACGCTGCCCGTTCCCAAAAAATCAGATTCAGAGTCCCTTGAAAGTACATAATTTTCATTTCGCCATTGAGAAGCTCAATTCAATATACTCTCTATTTCTTTTCCAATGGCTTTATTCTACACACAGATTCCCAATAATTTTATTGTGATATGACCTTAGGTCTTAGGATTTTGTTTTTCGGATTTCAATCTTAATCTTGAACTTTATTCATGATTTAAGACCTAAAAATAAAAGGTAAGCATATGAACACTCCCCTAAAAGGTAAGCATATGATCACTTTATTCATGCTTTAATCTGGTCCATTTATTGATCTGAGTCATGTTATTATTTTACTCTCAAGACAAAAAACGTACTCACTCCGTCCCAATTTGTTTTGCAAAGTCAACATTTTTTAGTCAACCAATACTAAAAGTCAAACCTTCTAATTGATAATTAATTCAATTTTTAATAATTAAAATTTGCATATTCATAAACTACATTGAAATATCTTCAAAGTTGTAAACTCCAAATCGGATTATAATTAAAAATTGACGTCCTAATTAAGCGAACAAAACAGATCTATTTGACTAAGAAAAGTCAAAGTTGCAACTCAATTTGGGACGGAGGTAGTAAAAGGTAAGCAACTAACTCTCTATGCTCTTGAACTAAAACCTCATTAGATGGATTTGGTAGGTATCAAAATTCTCATTTTTAATCATCCGGGAGATAATACTGATAGGGTGGAGATATGGTTGACAAAGGAGCGAGCTGGGGAAGGAAGCTCTGTTTTTCTCGATCTGTATGAGGGGGGAAGGGTTGGTGACCAGGTATGGCGGTGAGGAAATAAGAAATGAATAGGAGACAAGTTTTTGTTTTAATTTTAAAATCTTTTTAAATATGCTCCATTTATTGAACCGAGTCATTGACTGCCAACTCATCATTTTTAAAAGTTTCGGACGAGAATGTGTCCGGGAGTTCGGAGGGGAGCATCCCTCTTTAATCTAATACTACATATTAAATAAGTGAGATGTTCATTGTTAAACTCAATATATAACAAAAATACATCACAAATTCCATCTGAACCAACACATTTGAGTCGACTATAAAAATCATCTATGCAGAAATTCACCGATAGTTCCTTGGGAGATTTCCCAAACTAGCACTAAATACTAAATAGCTTTTGGAATTCCAAAATAGGACTGACTTGTGGTTATGTGTATTTTAAATAATTAAATATTATTCTATAAAAACATTGTGCGTTAATTTCATTATTATATGAATATTTGAGAATGATATGGAATTGAGGAAATGTTGTCATATGAAGTTATTTGTACATGAAATATGGTTTACATAACTATGTAATGTTGGCTATGAAATATTGAGTATGGGATATTGAGATATTATATGATACTCTGTATTGTATAAGTTGGTTATATTTGAAACATTGAATATTTTGAAGAACTTATGAAACAATAGTTATAGTGTATTTTTATAGATATGGATTTTGGCTATGATAAATATGAAAAATTAATATTTTCGTAATGGGTGGCATCATGGGAGTAATTCGGGTGTTGGTTGTTCACATTCAGACAGACGTGGAGGGTAATTAGGGTTGTTACTAATTTCATTTTAGTTTTGATTGGTTTCGGTTTTGGTTGGAGGGTCGGTAACCACCCCCAACAAATTGGACACAAGTTCCTTTTTGGTGAATTGATAGTAATTTCTGATCATTCTTGATTAAATTCTTTTCGTAGGATAGTTGATAGACGAAATCCTGACTACTCATAACGACTTACTACTCGTGAGAATTGATAGGTTTTTTTTTTGTAAGGTTACAAGTAATAAGTTAGTTCATCATTTTCCTTTACTTATATTACCTCTGAGATTGAGTAGAACTTACTTAACGTTTTGCTAATTTTGGTTTCTTTGTGTTCCTTTTCTTTCCCTATTTTGAACAGGTGATGAACTTGAAGACTATGTTGATTGGATGTTCGAGAGGGTGAGTTACATATATTAGCAATAGTTTGGTCTTCCATAAATGCTTGGTACCCTTTTAGTAGTCACCAGAGCACCCACTATGGGAGCTCAAGTGGGATCAAAACAACAAGGTGGTGGGAGTTGACCCCCACTATGGAAGGTTAAAAGTTGATCGGTCAACTCCCTAGCTCAAAAATGAGTTCTGACAAATTTGAGGCAAGTGACTTTTTTTTTGCCGAGTGGGTGTACCGCGTGGAGGAAGGGGAGGAATTCTTCTCCCACATTTGTAGCCACAAATCCCACCAATCTTTTAATTTAATATTTTATGAATTAAATTAATTTATTTTACAAAAAAAATTATACCAAAAAATCAGATTTTTTTCCATCTATAAATAGACACCAATGAAGGATATGTTTACTCACTGAACTAGTATGGTAAACGTCTAGTCTATGTGTATTTTATAATTACAGAAGTCTGATCTGGTCAGATTTGGTCTGGGGCTGAAAAACAGTCCAAAAGAAAATATCTCAAATAAATTAATAAAGGTGAGATATATTAAAATAAGGAGGGAGAGTGTAAAAATTAAAATGTGACCTAGGTCACCATAGTGGGGAGAAATTGTGATAGGTTAAAGGGGATTAAGTTTTTGGAGAAAAGTGACGTGGAAGAGAGAGGTGTGGGTCAAAATCCACCACCATTGTGGATGCTCTTACACATTTAATTTTAGCACATTTGAACTCCTGTTTTGTTGAGCTGCAATTATGTTTGTTGGTAAGTTAGCATGCACACTCGACTAGGTGTAACCGTGTGAGAAGCGTATGGCGGTAACAGTCTTTCCCTATGATTTAAAATCATATAAACTTTACCAAATTTTGTATGAGATAATCTTAGTAGGACGGATTGAAAAGAAAAAATGATACTATACCAATAATACTACATATGTTGAGAAAATCTATTTTTTACTTGCTAACCCCGCAATAATATAGTCTACTCAAATAGCCTTGTTGCTCTTCTTGCTACTCCAAAGAGAAACATAAAAATTTAAAATAAAAGATTCAGTTTCACGAGCCACCGAAAAGAGAGAATTGGTTTGACTAGCAACCAACAAAGGAAACTCAACCAAGTAAAAGTTGGATGAATCATTCATTTGACCAACCACCGAAAAGTAGATCCAATTGTGCACTAACTTTATGTCAAAGTGAGGTTATGGTTTAGGAGGAGAGTGAGTAGTTGAAATCATATCACTATTAAAAAAAACTGAAGTGTGAAATCCACAACACATGAGCATGAGTGAAGTCAGTAAATGACCATATTACCCGTTAAAGGAGTTGCGTGTAGACGTTTTTTGCATTTGCCGAGAAACAAATAAACTGCCCATCTCCAGAAGCTTCGTTAAACCCATCATAAACCCTACTCCACCACAGTCCACACTCCACAACTCAGGAACTACCTCACCAACGCAATCTGCTGATCGCAGCGTCCCTTGCAAACCTTCCTCCGACTGCTTTAAAGTAAAAATGCACAGGATCTCAAGGCGATCTCTCTCCGCCGTCCTCCGCGCCGGGTCCCTGCGTCGCCGGAATGAAGCCGCTCCGATTTCATCATCTGGTCTCCTCAACAGCCTGGTATTCATAGTTTAGATAGCCCTCTGAAGTTTTTTTTAATGTTTGCCTACTCTTTAGTGTTGTTGGAAAACTGAGGTTTTATTGGAAAATGAAGAAAGTGCAATCGTACTTGTTGAAACTAAATGAATCGTACGTTGTGTTTTATTTGGAGTAATCTGGACATCTATTGGCAATGGATGAATATATGCTCAAAACAATCATGAAGGTGATGCCTTTAGGCATTCGACGTAGTTACTTGCTTGTTTGGAATACCTGTTATTGGGAAACGGATGAGAATATCATTAGATTTCAAAATCATCTCCAGATGATAACATTTCTTTTGCTTTGTGGAAATGCTTTCTAGGTCTCCTTTCTATGAAGTGAATGACATTTCTGTTTTCTTTTTGTTATCCCTATATGTCATTAGGTCTGTGGTGGCCTAAATTTCCATTTCTAATGCTTATGACATTTTCCACTTAGTTTTGTCAATATATTAGCCTTAGTGTCAGCTGCATTCTTCATCACTGTAATCAAACATGCATTTCAAAAATAAATTAGGAGGGTTCAGTATTTGACAGGTGACATTGAGACTTTGCTAGTACAATTTTACAAAACTATGAATGTGCTTTTTAAGAACCAATGATGTCTGAAAATAGGTGACAGTCTCTGCCATGTTATCATCATTACCCATCCTAAATCTGAAAGACGGGGGAGAACAGGAAAGCTGATGTGAATTGTTTTATTACTTGATTGATGAACAGGCTGGTGAGAATGGTCCCACGGGTAGATGTTATTCGGCATTGTCTTTGGAAAAACACAGTAGCCCTAAAACAATTAATCCATACAACACAAGAGGAGTGTTTCATGGAAGCAGAAGTGAATCAACATCTGCTGCATCTGAAACACCAGGAGCAGTGACTGAGAAGTATGAATATCAGGCAGAGGTTAGCATTGGAGAAAAGCTATTCAAAAAGCAAGGAACATGAACTGAGAGTTTTAAAACTTAAATGTTGAGAATAATATAAGCTTACTTTTTGCCTCTGTGGGACTGTGGCAGGTTAGCCGTCTGATGGATTTAATTGTTAACAGCTTATACAGCAACAAAGAAGTGTTTCTTCGGGAGCTAATCAGGCATGCATTGAACTCTAAAATTTAGTTTTATTTGTCTCTTACCTACTAGTTCATGGTTAATAAAGAAGTAATGTTAGTTCCAAACTTTAGTGCATATTAGATAAAAATGAAGGGTTTGCTCCCTGTAAGATATTAAGTAATGGTCCATAAAATTTGTAGCATAAGGGACAGGCTTACCTCTTTAGTGTGATAATCATTGATTGCCATTACACCTTTATTTAATTAAAAGGCATAACACGATTATGCGATTATAAAAGGGGAGGGCCTCATTAGTGTGATAATGTAACTTCATTTCTTTTTCTTAATTTAATGAACTTCTACTGGTAGTGACTTGAGATATACTTTCTGTTACTGGAATATAATTTAAAAATGGGAAAGTGGAGAAACTGACACTGTTACTGTCCTATATTAGAGAAAAACAAAGCTTTGTCCTATATTAGATCTCCATCTTGAGTCAGTCTCGTGTGTCATTTAAATCATTATTATTTTATTTTTATGTTTTTTTGTTTGGTAAACTATATGCCTCTTAATGAAGATATATGTATTAAAGTTATTGTTGTGATATATTGGAGTTTGTGAACACATACATGCACTGCATGTTCTGATATAAAGGGAATACCCACTATATTTCATCAAAATTGGTTGCAAATAAGGAGTTGTAACAATTATTATTTCAATGCAGCAATGCAAGTGATGCTCTGGATAAGCTGAGGTTCCTTGGTGTTACACAGCCCGATCTTTTAAAGGATGCAGTTGATCTTGATATTCGTATACAGACTGATAAAGATAATGGCATAATAACAATCACGTAATCTAAATTCTAAACTACTTTTATTATACACATTTCATTTCTTCTGGTTTTGCATTGTTAGAAGTCATCGCTTTGTATGCTCTATGCAGAGACACTGGAATTGGTATGACTCGCCAGGAACTTGTTGACTGCCTTGGTACTATTGCTCAAAGTGGAACTGCAAAGTTTTTGAAAGCACTGAAGGTACGTCTGAACATAATCATTCCTCGTTGTGCACCCTACTGGTATGGTCACTTATATATCATAGAGATTATAACCTTTATATATAACAGGATAGCAAGGATGCCGGAGCTGATAGTAACCTGATTGGGCAATTTGGCGTTGGATTCTATTCTGCTTTCCTTGTTTCTGAACGGGTAGATTTTGCTCCTACAAACAGATGCCTTTAACATGCCTTAAATTCTAGATTAAGCACATCACTTCCCATGCTTTATGCCAACAGGTTGAAGTTTCAACTAAGAGCCCTAAATCGGACAAACAGTATGTTTGGGAAGGAGAAGCTAATTCTAGTGTATATAGCATTCGAGAAGAGACTGACCCAAGCAAATGCATTCCTAGAGGGACTCGCCTCACCTTATATTTGAAGGTTAGTTGATAGAATAGCTTCCCAGACATGCTTATCAAATATATTATTCAGGGGCATATATGATATTCTGATGTTTATGCATGCCTCATCTTATGTTTTCAGAGAGATGACAAAGGTTTTGCACATCCTGAAAAAATCCAGAAGCTTATACAAAACTATTCACAGTTTGTTTCATTCCCTATATATACATGGCAAGAAAAGGGATATACTAAAGAGGTAATGTACATCTTATCATTTGTGAATTTCCAATCTGGAAGAAAACACTTATCCGCTGGTTTTATATATTCAGGCAAGCTCAATCTTTCAATTAAATTTCCAAGTATAATTTTTGCTGCTATGTCATTTTTAATACTCTCTTCCACAGGTTGAAGTTGAAGAGGATCAAGCAGACACCAAGACTGATGGGCAAGATGAGCAAACTGAGGTCCTTGCTTCAATTTTATGGCTTTTTTCATACAATAAACCTTGTGCCATCCCTCTATTTTGACATTTTGTGTTATTATTTCATGCAATAGAAAAAGAAGAAGACCAAGACAGTTGTGGAGAAATATTGGGACTGGGATCTTACAAATGAGACTCAGCCTATATGGGTGAGCTATGCTTTTTCCTTTTTCCTTTTTTCCGGTTCATTATTTATCGTATTCAATGAAGAATGAGTTAGAAACATCTCTCTCTACTCCGCATGCAGCTTAGAAATCCGAAGGAGGTTACTACAGAGGAATATAATGAGTTCTATAAGAAGACATTCAGTGAATATTTGGAGCCTCTTGCATCTTCCCATTTTACGACTGAGGTATTGGAGATCAATAAACTTCCTCATTTGAGCCACTCAGGGCATGCTGACATGCTATCATAGTATCATGTTTTATTGCAATTGCAATTTAAGAAGGATCAGACCCAGTGCACAAGGATCTTGAATAATTAAATCATGAAAGATATAGGAATGGAGTTTTTCTCAGTCTTGTCTTGGTATTACAATTCCTTTGGAGAAAAAAGATTTCCTTGGCAAGATTTGCTAAATGAAATAAAATGAGAGTAAAGGAAGATTGAAAAAGATTTTCGTCCAAAAGAAAACAAACTACTCACAGTTCAAAGAAATAGATACTTGTAGGAGACTAGGAGTGTCAAGCATGCATATGCCCATCTGAGAACCTTTGATAAGCTGATCCAAGCTCATGCCTTCATATTTGTGCTTATAGACTATGGCACAAATTTTAGCATGTAAATTCGGAGAATTTTACAGTTTTACTTCATTATCATAATCTTTGTCTTTGGTTTTGTTGGGATAGGGAGAAGTAGAGTTCAGATCTGTCCTTTTTGTGCCAGCAGCTTCTCCAATGGGCAAGGATGACTTTATCAATGGAAAAACTAAAAATATAAGGTTGTATGTGAAGCGGGTGTTCATTTCAAGTGATTTTGATGGTGAACTGGTAAGGAAGTCATTCACCCTTACCCTCATGTTTTTTAAACCCAAATAGAACCATCTTGTTTGTTCAGTGTTGGCCAAGATCATTTATTAAATCCAAATACTATTTCTTCTCTCTTGTTTATGGAGCAGTTCCCACGATATCTGAGCTTTGTTAAAGGTGTGGTAGACTCAAATGATCTCCCGTTAAATGTCTCACGTGAAATACTTCAAGAGAGTCGCATTGTGAGTGTATTTCAGTCTAGACCTGAAATTGGAATGGTTACAGTTATTATTATTGTTATTATTATTATTATTATTGTCCTAATTTTTGGGCTATGACATTCCTCTGATTGCTTTGGAAAAGGTTCGCATAATGAAGAAACGTTTGGTGAGGAAGGCTTTTGAGATGATCCAAGGCATAGCCTTGAGTGATAATAGAGATGTAAGTTACTTTCTGTCTAATACTTTCCATCTAAACTCTCAAGTCTTCTAAACGCTGGAATGTTTGCATGGAATGCCCTGTGTTGCTTGCAACATAATTTCTAGTGCAGATAATTGTCTTGCTTTTCCCCTGACTTTTGCTTTTTATTTCACTTCACTACTCACTTTCTCATGTACAGGACTATGAGAAGTTCTATGAGAACTTCGGCAAGCACCTAAAAATAGGTTGCATTGAAGATCGTGAGAACCACAAGCGCATTGCCCCATTGCTGAGATTTTTCTCTTCACAAAGTGAGGAAGATATGATCAGCCTGGATGAATATGTTGAGAATATGAAGCCAGGCCAGAAGGAAATATATTTTATTGCTTCTGATAGTGTAGCAAGTGCAAAGAACACTCCTTTCCTTGAAAAGCTTCTTGAGAAAGATCTTGAAGTATGATATTGTTTAAACACGTTCAGTTGGGCTCTTACAGTCAAGCCTATTGAAATCACTTCTTTAGCACCTTTTTTGTGTCCTTGGTGTAGGTACTCTTTTTAGTTGATCCGATTGATGAGGTTGCTATCCAGAACCTCAAATCCTACAAGGAAAAAGAGTTTGTTGATATTAGCAAAGAAGATCTTGATCTGGGTTAGTTAACCTGAAGCCATCTGTTTTTGCGTGCAATTGAACTTTAAGTAAATTACAAAATATATTGTCGGTGTTTGATAAATAGTGAGCTTGCCTTAGATTTCTCTATTCTCTGCTACTGACATATTTGAACTTTTATTTTGAAGGTGATAAGAATGAGGATACAGAGAAGGAGATGAAACAAGAATTTGGCCCGACTTGTGATTGGATAAAGAATCGGTTAGGCGAGAAGGTTGCAAGTGTACAAATCTCAAACCGTCTCAGCTCGTCTCCTTGTGTTCTAGTATCTGGAAAGTTTGGTTGGTCTGCAAACATGGAAAGGTGGAATTTGTCACGTATTCACATGCTTTTAAGTTGCACGTACTACATGAGGTTTTCTAAGTTCTGCTTTTTTATTGTGTTCCCCCTTCAGGCTGATGAAGGCCCAAAGTGGTGGTGGTGATGCCTCTAGCCTGGCGTTTATGAAAAGCAGGAGAGTCTTTGAGATAAATCCTAACCACCCAATCATTAGGACATTAAACGTGAGTTGGTTTGGTGGAATTATGAATATTCTATGTCAATGTGCCTTTTCAACCTTTTGAATTCTGTTTGTTTCTCAACTTCAAATTTACAGGAGGCTTCAAAGAATAGCCCAAGTGACGAAGAAGCCCTGCAAGCAATTGATCTTTTATATGACGCAGCTTTGGTTTCTAGTGGTTTCACTGTGAGTAAATAGTGTTACACCTTTATTTTACTTGCATTTACAATTTTTTGATATTTATGCGGAGTTAGGTAGTTTGAAGTGTGTAGATGAGATCGCATCACATACAATTGATATATTTTTGGAAAACAGCTTTGAAAAAGAACTTTGGAAAAAGACTACTCACCCTGCTATACCTTACCCATTACGTACACAGTTTTTGTGTTCATTGCATTTTCTATTGCTGATCTGCTTAATGCCATACAGCCTGATGATCCAGCTGAGCTAGGAGGTAAGATCTATGGCATGATGAGCATGGCTCTGTCAGGAAAGTGGGGAGCTTCAGATGGATTTTCACAACCCACAGCAGCGCCCACCCAAACACATATCCCTGAAACAGTGGAGGCTGAGGTGGTGGAGCCTGTCGAAGCTGGTGTGCATAAGTAATGAACCGCACTGAGTACGTGGAAACCTTCAATGCTTTTTTAGTAGCTTTTTGAAGTTGAGCAGCACAGATGGATGGATTGGAGTAACTTTAAGTTTTTTTTAAAATATGTTCTACTTAGTCGTATTCCCCATTAATTATTTGGTATTTAGAAGGGCTATGTTATAATGATTAACCTTCGAATGTAGCAACGATAAGTTGGAACTTGAAAGTGCCCCTCTAATGGAAAAGAAATTATTAGCGTATTGAAGTCTGATAGCAAAATTTTGTTAAATTTATGGAAGCAATGAATAAACCTTGAGCTATGTCACAAAGCGTATACACCCAACTGCCCAACATTATGCGGGAATAACTATGCAAAAACACTACAACGCCTCATTTCTTTATTCCTCTCTCGGTCCCATTGGATTTTGTCAACTTTTTCTTTTTGGTTGTCCCAAAAAACTTTACTACTTTCCTATTAAAGCAACTAATTTGTGGATTTGCACTAGGGCTGGACTCGGGCCGGTTTGGGCCCGGCCCGACCGGTGGTTCTGGAATGGGGGGGGCCGGAACCGGCCCGGGTAATCCCCGGTTCTGGTTTGGGCCGGGCCGGCCTCGGGCCATTGCTAATTTCCCCCCTTTCCCTAGTTAACCCCCCCCCCCCCCCCCCCCCCAAACCACCCCAAAAGGCCCAAAATACCCAGCCAAACCCGAAAAGTAAAAAAAATTGAAAAAAAAAAATTAAAAGGCTCGGAACCGGGTCCGAACCGCCGGGCCGGTTCATGATTTGGGGGGCCCGATCCCGGACCGGACCCCATGCGGGTCAGGCCTACCCGGGCCGGTCACTGACCGGGCCGGAACAGTGCCGGTTCGGGTCGGTTCCGGGCCGGGCCACCCGGCCCGAGTACAGACCTATTCTGCACATTTCTCTCTTCTCTGCACAAATCTCAACAACACAGTTTTCATTATTCTTATTTCCCATCTACTTTGCACTTGACAAGGTCCACCAGGACTTTGCCACCAGGTAGTATAACAATCATAGAGTAGCGAATTTTGCAAATTTGACAAGTACTGTTGTTGAGATCCATTTTCTTACAAAGTTGCTTTGACGTGCACAATGGCTTGCATTTTGTCAGTTACAGACAATTGGGCACACTAATATTTGAATGGAATTGCTTGGGGGCATAAATAAGAGTTGTTTATACACAAATAAGTTTTGATTGTGTCCATAGGAGCTTTTAACATTAAAAGTCCTTTGATTATTGTGCGAGTGACACTTTTAGTCATAGACTTCAAAATTGCTCACATTTAGTTCTAGTATTGTTGAATTGATATTTTAAGTTCTTCCACTATGATTTTGGCACAATATGTGGAGGATTAAAAATGCCATTATGATAATATTTGAATGACCGAAAGTGCCTTTCGCATAATGATCGAAAAATTAAAATGAAAAAATTCAAGGTAGAGTATCAAAAATGTCAGATGCCAAAAAGAGGCAAAAGCTCATGTCCATAGATATTACTACCTCCGTCCCATTTATATTGTCTCTTTACGGTTTACGATGTTTGACCGACAATAAAGTAAACAGATCCATGTCCGCACTCAAATTATTTCTAGGGAAAAAATTACATATTCAGAAACTACATTTAAAGCTTTACAAAGTCGCAAAAACTTGAATCAAATTTGATAATTTTTTTATATATAATGTAAGAAATTAAGAGTGATTTGTGTTGACCAAGTAAATAGGAACCGAGACAATATAAATGGGACGGAGGGAGTAGTTTTTGTGCCAACAATGTTGGCGTGAAAATTAGTGTCAGTGTGCAAAGTGTTTGTGTAAGAATAATGTGGAGTAATTGTTTATACATTGACAACTTGTATCCAAATTATGGATTGTCATATAGATCTTAATAAACAGACAATAGATGTGATCAGTTCAATTGCCAGTGCTTAAATGAATTTTATCACAAAGCACACAAATAATAATCGTCTTTGTGATCAATTTTAGTTATGTGCATGACAATTTTTTAAGGGGGAATTTGACTTTGCACCCATTTTACTTCAAAATCCTTTGACTTTGCACCCCATTTAGAAATTTTTCTTCACAAATGTTAGGGTGCAAAGTCAAAAGTTTTTTAAAATGGAGTGCAAAGTTCAATATCAACCAAAAAGTGAGATGCAAAGTCAAATTCTCCCTTTTTTAATTGTTTATGTCAACAAAATATGTAATTATCTATAGGCGTGTAAATAAATGGAATGGAGTTTGTTGTCAATTCCAAATTTGAAAGTGAGTTTTTCCGTACATCAGAAATCAGAATGAAAGTGAGTTGTTGTATGAGTATGTATATCAAATAGAAAAAATGGAAACTAATAATCCAACCTTTTAGCACTCTTCCTATAATAGTCCTATCTTTTCGTTATTCAAGAATAATCCAATGGATTCCAACCTTGGTACCTCATCTTCATTCGCTGGTCCCTGACCGGTTAATGACCTGCTATTCCAAGTTATTTTTTATCTTTGGAAAATATTATCTTTGTAAAAGGTGAAATTTATGACATAATGGTTTGCGAAGATAAGAAAATAACTTGGAATAGCAGGTCATGAACCGGTTAGGGACCAGTGAATGAAGATGAGATGCAAATGTTGGATTATTCATGAATAACGAAAAGATGTGACTATTGTAAAAAGACCGTTAAAAGATTGTATTATTAATTTCCATTTTCCCTATCAAATATCGGGAGTTGCAAATTTGGCACGCGGTCATAGAGAGGCACAAACAGAAAATTTATAGACGTACAATAGGATTTTCTGCTGTGTCAAGGAGCACAACGTGGGCTACCATTGGAAAGCAATGGTCCTAGATCATGCATACATAACTCTTATCAGATTGACAAAACGAGCGTAAGATTTGATTGGATGGATCATTTCCACAGCACCCATGCTGTGCTCCTGCACAGCCGAAGAACAACCTGATCCCTTAAATAAGTCTCAACTAATCACACATGTTACAACATTGGCCAAAACTAGTTCATAAATCTAAAATAAATTTACTATGACATTGACCGTCCGATCTATATAATGTCTCAACATTTCTTCATTCCCTGTCCTCAATCTGTACAATTTGAATCACACTTCTCTCCGATTGTTTGAGGGAACTTTCCATTTAAGATTTCTACCAAACTCATCTTCTGAGTTTGTTCTGGTTCACAGCCCCGTTTTCATTTCGAATGTCCCATGAATTAGAGTAACCAGGCGGCGGTTCATTAAGGTTTTGCCCAAAACCAGGAGGTCTGTTAAGGGTATGCCCGAAACCAGGAGGTTCAGTAAGGGTATGCCCAAAACCAGGAGGTTCGAAAAGGGTTTGCCCGAAACCGGAATGTTTACTATGGTTTTGCAAGAAACTGGGCAGTTCAGGGAGGTTTTGCAAGAAATCGGCAGGTTCACTAAGGTTTAGCGTGAAGCCAGGGGGTTCAGTAAGGTTTAGTGGGAAACCCGGTGGTTCAGTAAGGTTTAGTGGGAAACCGGGCGGTTCAGTAAGGTTTAGTGGGAAACCGGGCGGTTCAGTGAGGTTAAGTGGGAAACCGGGCGGTTCAGTGAGGTTAAGTGGGAAACCGGGCGGTTCAGTGAGGTTTAGTGGGAAACCGGGCGGTTCAGTAAGGTTTAGTGGGAAACTGGGCGGTTCCGCAAGGTTTAGTGGGAAACCAGGCGGTTCAGTATGAATTTGCGGGAACCCAGGCGGTTCAGTATGAATTTGCGAGAACCCAGGCGGTTCAGTATGAATTTGCGGGAAACCAGGCGGTACAGTACAGTTTTGTGGGAAACCAGGTGGCTCAGAATGATTTTGGGGGAAGCCCGGCGGTTCATTAAGGTTGTGGTTATCAGTTTGAACCTGCTGAACTTCACTAACAGATTCATGAGACAGACCTGAAAGAGCTGAGCTTTCTGGCTGCCCCCCAGTCTTCCCTTCTGTCCCTACATTATTGTTTCTTGAAGAGCTTTCTGGTTGACCTCCTTTAGCCTCCTCTACCCCTCCTTGGAGTAGCTCCTCTGGGGTTGCAGCAGGATCAAGATCCCAGCAGCGTCCGTCTGGTAGGTTATTATGGTTTTTTTCCAGTACACAAGAAGGAACCATATGTGAAAACCGCAACATCTCTTTTCTAGGGATCCAGCGAATTGACTCCTTATCCGGGCTCTGTCTATATACTGTCTTGAATCCGTCTAGTTTGATTAATGGTCCAACACGCACCCCAAGTTCTTCAGAATAATCATCAAGAACCTCGACCATCTCATACTGGTGCCTTACTTCATCTGGAGTGGATCTGTTCCAATCCAATGACCAGTTCCTATAGACGGCCCAAATATCTCCACTTCTAGGGAAGATTCTAATACAACCACCCCTGCCTGCTTTCTCCCTACTCAGAAGATGAGAAAAAATGTTGATCTGGTCAACTATTTCTGAGTTATATGCCCTGAAATGCCCACAGGATTTTGTGAAGCCAGAGCACAACCAATTTACTGACCCGAACTCGGTATCTGATTTGGCGCCCAAGTAGCTGACATGGATCTTGAACGGATTCAAGTTGATGACTTCTCGAACCAGACAGTATAAGCGGGGCATACCATCTTCCTCGTCATATAAGGCCCATATTTGTTTTGGCTTAAAGGATTCCTCTGCTCTATCTTTATCAAAATCATGGAAGTCAGAATCTGGTACTGTTATTGCCAGGGCCGCACTTGCCTTTGGCTCTGATGGATGCTTCTCCATGTCTCCCGAACCCACTCTTTTATGGATCACAGAAAGTTCTTTTTTCTTCTTATCCAACTCTGCGGAAGCCAAGTTCATTTCTTCCAGTTTACTACGGATTACAGTTCTTGCCTTGTCGATCAATAACTTTCTAGAATCAAAAGAAGGAAAATAGGAACACCGCTTAGAAGGGGTGTCATTTGCAGTTTGAAGCTTAGAAATTTGTTTCAGATTCCCATTTTCATTGGCCACTTTCACTTCTTCAGCAGTATTATTTCCACTAGTACTTCCAATTTCAACTTTCGTCTTCTTAGGGGGCCTTCCCATTTTTTTTACGGGCTTTTCAGGGTAAATGGTAAATCCAGTGGCAGCCTTTTCCATTTTCTTTTTCCCCATAGTGCCATTTACTTGTGCACTTTGGGTAAAAGATATATTTGGAGCATACTCTAAACCATGTCTGGAATGGTGTCCAGAGACACCATTATGTTGGGCCCCATATCCGTGTGTTCCATACACATTCTCAGGGACGTAAGACCACGAGGAATATTGGTAGGATCCATTCACTGGGGCCAATCCAGTCTCAACAGCATTGAAAACGCCACGGCAGTTCTTGCAAGAAAGTCTCTTGTTCACATATTTTCTGAGATACTCATACTGCACGTGACAAGAGGTACACACTGTCCAGAAGGTTTCAAGCCTGTTGCGGGGCATGGATGAAGAATTAGAGTAGTTTATGGATTTCCCGGAAGTGTGGTGAGAGAAAGAATTTCTCCTACAGTCGTAAGAGTTTCTTTTAGCAACATCAGAGAGAACTGCCCATGCTTGAGAAACAAGTTTGAATGCGCCGTCAGCTCCAATGGTGTTGTTTTTGTCAGGGTGAAGTAAAGCGGACATCTTTTTGTATTGCTTTTTAACTTTAGCCTTCTCCGCAGATGGATCCAAACCCAAAACTGCATACAAGTCAATCTCTCCATTAATTCTGATCTGGGAAGCAGAATGGACTCCATATGTCAAAACCATTTGGGCTATTCCTTCCAAACCAGGACATAGAGTTTCTGCTTTGAGAGCAGACATCTTTGCTCCCACAAAGTCATTCTCCAAAAATCTCCTCTCAGCTTCTGCCTTAGCTCTAAGCGCTTCCTCTATGTTTGACCCCATTACAGATAGATCTTTAGCTTCAATTGGGCAAGCCAAATGAAAATTACAAGAGTTCTACTTTAGCAACCATGCTGAATCTTCTGCAAATGAGCATATGTTACATAGAATTAATTTGAAAGTTTCAAACTTTATTTGTTCTGATCAACTTACAAACAACAACAAGCCTTAATCACCATTTAGAGGACACAAATCCACTTTACTGATGTATCTAGCCTTAAGAAATGAATTTGGAGCATTATTCATTGCTATAGCATTTCCAAAATACAGCATTTTTATAAGAACTCAGAACAACTAAGCTTAACAGGAAAATCAAAAGCTATGAAAGCTAAACTTACGTCTACATTAAAAAACACTGGTCACAAACACACTGAAAAGTGCAAGATCTTCAGACTCAAGTCAAAGATATTCCACATTTCAGTCAATTTAACTCAATAATACTCAGATGAACCGACGCATTCAATATATGAAGCAGACAATCCAGTTTGTCAGAAATTAGGAAAAATATTCGCATCTAACTAAGATCCAGCTTAACCTCAACACCAAAAGCAGAATTATATACTCCAGAGTAATAAAACTCCACCCCCAACAAATCGACTGAGCTAGAAACTACTCACTACAAAAAGTAACCAATTACCGATGGGAATCAGACCAGAACCTGATCATCAGCATAGGCTTCATTAGATCCCCTACCCTGCAGCTGCTATCTGGATCTTGGCTATGTACACCAAACAGTTCGGGTTAGGTCCGAAACCCAAAACGGCTTACAGAAATGATTAGAATTTTGAAAAAAGGATGATAAATTAGAAGAGTCCAAGAAAAGTACCCGTGCAAAAGTGCAAAACAGAGAATGTAGAAAGCCTAGAAATACGGCTCCGGCCGCTGACGTCGGCGGACTGCGAGAAACCCGGCCGGGAACGCCGATTGGTAAAGTTTTGGACAAGATTTCTACAATTACTCAAACTAACCGGAAAAAGTAGATTGTTTGCTCTAAAAATAATAATACTCCGTAATATGGAGTAATAAATACTACCACCCTCTGTCGAAAAAAGTCCCATTGTGTGATTACAAATTTACATTTTGTGCCACAAATAATAATTATAAGAGAAATCATCTCATCAGGCCGGCCTGACGGGCTGCCCCGTCCGGCCGAGCCCGTTTGGTCACCTTCCCGGTGGAATTTTTTTATGAAATTTTTTGAACATGTTCCTCATCAAGTCTAGTTTGTCCATACCAAATTTCAGCTCAAAATTCGATCGGGAAGGTCGTCAAATGATTTTTGCAAGTTAACTGGTCCGGAATATGTATTTTCCGGACCAGTTAACTTGCAAAAATAATTTGGTGACCTTACCGATCGAATTTTGAGCTGAAATTTGGTATGGACAAACTAGACTTGATGAGGAACATGCTCAAAAAATTTCATCAAAAAATTCTACCGGGAAGGTGCCCAAACGGGCTCGGCCGGACGGGGCAGCCCGTCAGGCCGGCCTGATGAGAAGAGCTCTCATTATTTTTAATCACATTATTCTTTTTCTAAAAAGAAAGAACTCTTATTTTTAAAAACTCACAAACAATTTAAAAAAAAGACAAACAAACGCACAAACAACGAAAAGATAACTTTTCCATGGAGTCCTAAAAATTGATTGGAAAAAATATATAGAGTATATAAGTGAATAATATATTCTTCCAAAAATAAAAGTGAATAATACGGAGTATATTGAACCAATAGAAGGAAATAAATTGAAATAACGATTGCTGTTTAGTTAAATAAAATTGTTGCCAATATATGCCATCTTTATTCTTTAATTTACTGATGTAATAATGTATTAGAGCAAACAATAATTATTTAGGCATATTTGTCTATAAATTATGTGTTAGTGATTTAAAAAAAAAAAACTGGATAAAATAGCACTATAAAAAACGGAAATAAAATGATAATTATGGAATTCAAGTTAGTACGGTTAGGAAGTAGGAAGCATACCAATATGTGATCAGAACAATCGAAACTTTGACTTCACAACACATGATTTATCTAATTTTTTTTATTTTTCTGTAGATGATTTGTATTCCTTTTTAATGCATCTCAAAGTGAACAACTTTCCTCTTAAATTTTGTAGTATCCTATACTTTACTTTAATATTTGACTTTGTGCATTTTTGAGGGTGTATAAATACTCACAAATATGATTTCAGCTACATAATTATATTTTCTTTAACTAAACATGTCCAAATCTGTTACATTGAATTGAGTAATAGATGAAGAAATCATTCTATTTATTTCGCATGAGAAAAATATATCTAAAAAATAAAAGAAGTAATTTTGTAAAATATAAAAACTTTTACTATTAGTTAATTGAACGTTAAGGCCTATGGGACCTCAAGTATAGTACGTTTATAAAATGAACTACGTATTATCAAATGAAAGTTGGGCCCAAATTTCAATTGCAAGGATCCATATTATATCCGTCTTGATGAGGCCCAACAACTATCTTGAATAGTCAATACGTTTTGAAATGGGTCCATCAGCATTTAAAAGAGGCTCAATAATATCAAGAACAGTAAGATAGTGTTTTGAAAAAGAACAATAACATGGTGGAATATCATTAAATGGTAGAGAGAAGTCCAAAATATTAGTTAATTTTTTTTATATCCTCAATTATGGGCAAAATTAAACTCTACCAATTCGTGAGTTCATAACTACTTTTGTAGTTACAATATGATTTTGTCACATGTTAACTTTAGGACAATGAGCTGGAGTTAGATGATAATATCTAAATTATAGGTTATTGTCTTAATCAAAGGTTAACATTTATGGCTGATTTTTGAAGCGCTGAATTTGAATGCTAGCTGAACACATTAGACATTTAGACCAATTGCAATTTGACTAATGAACTAAAATGTCACAGGATAATATGAAATTAACTTAAAGAGCATATGATTTATTAATAGAATAAAATATTTATTTAAGAGCATGAACTCACGTTATTCACTAATGAGATACATCTGCCGAAATATTCTCTTAATGAACTAAGACCTCTTCGGTTTATTATTCGACAAAACATATATTGCATTTGTGTATTTAACCAATAACAATATGATGTCTCCGGATTTTTTCGATGGACAAAACAAAATTCTGTATTTGATGTTTTGCTTTATATAATTCGAAGAGAAACATACATTGCAAAGCTGCTCACATGGCCTTAGCCCTTAAGTATCATGGTCTCTTGAACGATGTTTTCAAAAAAAACAAGGATGACACCCCATCCCTGAGGCCCCCCAACACCGACCGGACGGCACGATGGGAAGATGTAAATTTGACTATAATCACCATCTGACAAATAGAGAATGGGACTCCGTTCCCGCCACTTGCAGAGGCCCTATGCATTTTTTGCATAGTAACCTCTCATCGCAGTTGCCGGGATTCGAACCCGAGACCTAACCCTTGTGGCATTCCCTCGCTACCAGTTGAGCTACGTCCACCGGTTCTTGAACGATGTTCTCAAATCTATTTGAGGAAGCCTTGATGTTTCCTTTTTCAAAATCCCCAATAATCAACATACTATACCCTATTGGATCTCTTATTTTGGAGGTGTTCATGTGAACACCCAAAAATAAAAAACAATGGGAATATATATCTGAATTAGAGTAATAATTTAATTATTAGTATTTTAAGCAAAAAATTGTAATTTTGAACACTCAAATGTAAATATTAGGTCCGCCATCGACTATACTTGATATTTCCTCCATCCTATTAACATATATTCACCGATGTATTACAAAATTCATCCTCATAGACATAAAACCAGCTAGGCTTGATGAATATTCTAGGTGAAAGTGAATTTGGAGGAGTCTCTGAAAGATGTGAACAAGAAACAGATTAGTAAAGAGGCAAATATGTCCAGGTCGGGAAAGAAGTGAAACGTTTAATAATTTAACGTTTGAATTCAGTTTTTTTTAAACTTAAGCTTCCACGAGCCTGAGAGCATCTCCAACGGTTACTAAACACGTTGTAGCTTTGCTTGCCACATCAGTTTTTTCTAGCTAATCCTTTTTCCATCAATGTGGTAGTCCAATAATTAGCTACAATGCTTGCCTCTTGAATAGGCCCCACAAATCAATCATTTTTGAAATATACATTTTGAATGAATTTTATTAATATAATAAATATAATATTTATTTTGAAATACTTTCAAATCGATCAAGTTGACAAGCAATTGAGCAAACATAACCAAACTTCGGGAAGATTGATCAAGTTGGCCGTCAACCATGACTTTGACCAAACATTAACCCACCGCCCAACATTATTAAGCCGACAAGGGTGAATGCATATTATTAAAATTAGTAGAACAATATGTATTTTGTTAAGTATCAAAATAAGGAATACAAAATTTGCTCAAAAACATACATACCGAAACCACTTTGAACATTACCGCTGCACTGCTTTAATTAACGGTAATAAGATTGAAACCACTTTCAACATTACCGTTGCTGTTTTAATTAGATTAGTATATTAATTATCAATAAATTAAATATATTTGGGAGTTACCATTTTAGTTCAATTTTCTCTCCTTTCTAGCATGTAGCTTGTTTTTTTCTAATTTGCTTGCACTCCAATAGTAGGCTACAGGCTACTAGCTTGAGTATTTTAAAAAATTGCAAGCATGTATTTGAGAGGAATCATTGGAGATGCTCCAATTTCAAATAAGTCTAATGCAAAATTAATTGACTGAATTTTGCATTGGACTTATTTGAATTTTGCAAGGGACTGGGGTTTAAACTCTTACTCCCTCAGTTAATTTTAACTTTGTCAACTTTCCTTTTTGGATGTCTCATTAATTTTGCTATTTTTCCTTTTAAGTAAAGAATTAGTGTTTCTATTTAATTATCTCTCCTCTGCACAGACCTCAACCACACAAGTTTTACATTATTAATACTCATGCCGATCAAACTTGACAAAGTTATTAGAGAGAGTATTAAAAATAGGAGAACCATATAGCGCTAGTAGGCAAATACGGAGTACAATAAAGGGAATCTAACCAAGACTCGAAAGGGACAAACGAAGACAATATATAGGTCAATAGCTACTACATTGGGTTTACAAACATATAGTCCGTATCAAGTTAAATTAAGCAAGTAAAATGAGAGGTATAATCTTTTACGGAAATTGCACGGAATAAGAGTAAAAACGTTTTGAAATTTCAAAATAAGATTATCATGTTCTTTATTTTTTAAATATGAGTAATCTGTCAAGTTTGGGAAAAAATATCATGTTTAAAACCTAGTAATGTCAAACTCCTACTTGGGAATCTCAATCTTTTAAACGGCAAGGACTAGAGTTAAGCTTCTTCTCATAAGAAAAGCTAAAAAACATTCTATATTATACGACGTAATTCATTATAGTTTCATCTACGTAGTTCATAAGATTTTATAATATTTAATTGACCGAGTTCCAATTTGCTGAATCAATTGAAGTTGTTGAATTATGAAAAAATATCACACGAAATTTTAAATATATTTTATAAATAAAATATAAAGAATTACTAAAACAATTGGGTTTTAATAAATTCAGCTAATTATTTTCATTATTACACTATTTAATGCGCCAAATAAATAGTTAGTTAGTTAATACCTTCATTCTTTTTTGAATAAATTCACCTTTTGATCTTACAATTGTCGCACCGATTTCATAATTGGTCTACGTCTTTGACTTTGACCATTTTTGTTACATGACTATTATGTTTTCTTCCATACATAGTTCTTTCGGCAATAATTTTGATGGTTAAAATCGCCGTGGAAGGACTACAAATGGTTAAAATACATTAATCAGATATCAAAGGTGGATAAAATGAAAGACATATGATCAAAAGTGGAATTAATTCTTCTTGTTTAGTTTTTTGGCCGTACTTTCTCTTTTCTAATAGTCTTTGTTCCGTTATATGACAACAAGAGTTTTGAATTTGTGACATCCTCCTTGGGAGTCCCACAATGATGTTATCAAATCACAATGTGTTTGGCTTCTTTTTTAGT